TTCTTAGCTGGGCTTAATTATTTACACTCTGAAGATGGAGATAAGTTCATGCGAAAGGTAGGCTTCCCTCCGAACTACACGGAGTCACAATTCGGAAGACTGTATTGGTCACAATCATTCGTTCTGCTTCAGCATCTTGCTAATGTATCAGAAATAGAGATAATGAGAGGAGGTAAAGCTGTCCCTGTGCTTAACTAATTAAGCACTACACTATGAAGGCGTATGGGGGAGTGGATATATAAATCCAGGTTTCCTTGACCTCAGCACTAGATGGAGGAGAGTGGTCAGCTTCACGCCCCGGCCGCTTTACTCTCGGGGAAAGAGCCCCCCTGTACCCATGGATAGGCTCCAGAAGCGGTCTGGACGACATAAATGGAAATTTTTTCATCTTACCGGGACTCAAACTCCGATCCCTCCGTCGTCCAGCCAGTCTCTATACCGACTGAGCTATCCCGGCTCCTAGAGAGATACTGATAGATACATATAGACTACTTCCTATTTGGACCGAAGAAGGATGCAATAATATGGAGCTGTAGAAAGTAGCACAACAAGGAACTTCACAAATTCTAATAATTAGTATGATCAGGTCAACGAGGATGATGTATACAGGGCATGTAGCATGCATGAGAGAGAAGCGTTTAGGCGGGAAAGATAGAAGGAGAGAGACCACTATGAAGGGTAATAACAAACTAGATCTTAGAGAAGCAGGTTGGGGTGGCATTGACTGGACTAATCTTCCTCAGGCCAAGTACTGGTTATGGGATCTTGTGAACACGGCAATGAACCTTTGGGTTCTATAGAGCATTGGGAAATTCTTGAGCAGATGAGCGACTGGCGGCTTCTCAAGGAGGACTAGGCTCCTTGTAGTTAGTTATGGGCCACTTATATTGGTAATTGAGCGTCGAAAGGAATCTGTTCATTTCTCCCGTTTCTGTGCTGCATACAGCGAAGGTCTGACCGTCATCAGAGACAGCAGATAGCGCGTGAAGACCACCCAAACAAAGCTACAGACGCGATATGTCGCCCCAAGGATACAGTCGAGAGATGGACTTGAAAATAAATTGAAAAATAATGAACAGGCGTTATGTGTGCACTTAAGAAAATGGAGGGGTCGAGGGGGTGCAGGAGGTGCGCCTTTTGCACAATAGAAAGGCATGGGACCACCGGTGTAATCACGCACAGTAATAGCCCTGGCCGCCCTGTATTAATACTTGGCTCCCCCCACCCCCCAATAATGCAATGCAATGTACAGGGCCACCCAGCTGTGAAAATACCGTAGTTCGTCTCCCGACACATGAAATTTATTTTGTTCCTACACCCAACGTTTTGTTGTAGCAGCATTTTATGATATTACGGGGGTGTCTGTAGAAAGCTATGTCTTCTGGGATATGACTCCGTGCAGTCTGGTGGACGATCACTGGACGTTGGAGACAAACGTCTTGTCTCCATCTTTACGGACAGAAAGTACGCGAAGCAAAAGGCTGTGCTTTACCTCAGGTGGTTAGTCTCCGGCTTCCCACCGCGGCGGTTCGTGTTCGATCCCAGGTCAGGTCAGGTGGGATTTGTGGTGGACAAAGAGGCACTGGGTCATGTTTTCTCCGAGTATTGCCAATTTTTATTACACCGACAGCTCCACACTCATCATCATCTATTATCCGGGGACGTTAAATAGGCCAAACTGTGACCGAGGTACCCAAGTGGACGCAGCCTCAACACATGCCAAGAAATAAAAAAAAGCAAAGCAAACACAGCTCTGTTTTCTGTTTGTTTCTTGCTGGTTGCCTGTCTTACTCTTCCACACTGAGGATGAGGGCAGCAACTCCTCCGAAACATAAGTGAACCTGTGCCATACTACACTCCATTACAACTCAAAAAACGCACTTTGAATAATTATCATAGTGAAATCTCGGAAAACAGACATAATTACTTTTCCGTTTAAACAGTTCACCAGTTGCTCAATCGGCGAGTTATAATTGTAGCTAATTAGTAAAGAAGTCACTTAATAAAACATGCGTTAAACAATCCGTTTGTTAGTTAGTGAATCACCAAACATTTACTTAGTCAATCTTTCAATTCGTAAAACACTTAATCAGTAAATTACACGTTCGTGGGCGCATGTGTGTTTTAGATGGGGTAATTTACGATGCGCCGGTCACGGTAGCCGAGCGGTCTAAGGCATGTACTGTCTTCGCTCGCTCGGAAGCCGGGATCGTGGGTTCGAATCCCACTCAGGGCATGGATGTTTGTGTGCGTTTTTCTGTGTTTGTCTACAGGTAGAGGCCTTGCGACGAGCTGATCACTCGCCCAAGGAGTCCTACCGTATGTGTAAGATCTAGAAAAACGGAAGTGAACGGAGTTCATGGAGGTAGGCCTAGGCCCACTGGGGCTGTAGTGCCAAGGGGGAAAAAAATTACGATGCTTTTAGTATCTAGACGATAGAAGGGAATGAGGGATAACAAACTGAGTAGAAACAAGCTGTACCTGCGTACTGTCCCAGCATTTTCTTGGAGGGACTAAGGAAAACCATGAAGAACGTCACTAAGAGAAACCTGTGTTCGGGTCGAAATTGGAACAGGGCACCTACCGAACATAAGTCTAGATCGTTGCAACTAGACCAGCCTGCTAGAACAAATAACTGAACTTACATGAATAATTGCCCTAGCTATTACCTGAATTTGTATTTTGTGTGCCTAATATTTAACTCACAGTCATACAGTCAGTCTATCATCAACTTTTTCATTAATCATGTGATGAATGAAACATTTTTTATCACAACGTTTCATTAACCACGTGGCCTCTCCCTACTGTAAAAAAATCTGCTCTTATGTTTCAGCCACTCATACTCTCACGTCGATCTTATCTTCCATGCGAGATATATCTGCTCTTCCGTTTCATCCACTCACACTCTCACTTCGATCCCATCTTCCATGCGAGATATATATATCTGCTCTTCCGTTTCATCCACTCACACTCTCACTTCGATCCCATCTTCCATGCGAGATATATATATCTGCTCTTCCGTTTCATCCACTCACACTCTCACTTCGATCCCATCTTCCATGCGAGATATATATATCTGCTCTTCCGTTTCATCCACTCACACTCTCACTTCGATCCCATCTTCCATGCGAGATATATCTGCTCTTCCGTTTCATCCACTCATACTCTCACTTCGATCCCATCTTCCATGCGAGATATATGTAAGAACTGACCTCTCCACCAGAATCATTAACAGTGAAATGGCAATTGCAATATTTTCTGAAACGTCGGAATACCTTCAGCGTTTTAAGCTTTGTATTGCCGAGATCCGAAGTCACACAATCAACTATAATTATCCTTACAGTTGTGAGTTACGTCATTTGGAGTTTCTTATAACGCTTTTCCGAATACCGAACAAGGTGTAACACCGGTACTACGGTAACGAGCGCGTATCATCGTCAGTTAGTGACGTAGTCCGTTACGTCATCATTAGAAAGTTAATACGTTCTATTTTCAACATATTTCTGATATTCATACGCCGGTGGGAAATTCAAACGTACCTACACACAATTTTTTCTTCTGTAAGGTTGGTAACACGAGGCATGATGTCAGCTGGTTCGAAGAGTAGATGAGTTTTGCCTTCTGAGCAACCACACACGGGACTCCTAATGTGATTTGGAAGAGAGATGGAAGCACCGGAGAGAGCTGTTAGTCTGTTTAGTGGAATAATACTCTCTCAGAACGACTATTATCCTTTGTTATTGTTGCATGACTTCTAATAATGAAATCAGTGACTTACTAGCAGACCAACGATCTCTGCTGACACTTTACAGAGGACAGTCTTGACACCAGGTGTTGAATTCTATATTGATATTTCCGTTTCATTACTGATTTTATATTGTTTATATTTCGTGAAATAGCGTAGCTCAGTAAATATAGTGATCGGCTACAAGCTGTATGAGAGGACCAGACAATCAAGAGTTCGTTTACCATCGTGGGGCAGAGATTTTTCTCTCTACCACGGGTCCATATCGGCTCTGGGGGCTCATCTAGCCTCCTATCAAATAGGGTATTTCCCCTGTGGCTAATTGGCCAGGCATGAAATTGACCATTCACCTCTGCGTGATGACGAGATGAAATTCATTTTGTTTATACGATTGTACTTTATTTAACAACGCTGCCACTAACTGCATGGCGTTGAACTAGTTTTTGATAGTGAATAATGTATAGGAATGAATTTGGAAGGAAGCGTTTGTGGTCTAAGGTACAAGCAAAGTTGTCCCTGTGCTTAACTAATTAAGCACTATGCCATGCAGACATATGATGGAGTGGATGTATAGATCCACATTTTCTTGACCTCGACACTAACTAAAGGTGAGTGGTCAGCTTCACGTTCCTGCCGCTTTACCCCCGGGAAAGAGCCCCATGAACCAATTTGATAGGAGGTTGGGTGAGCCCCAGAGCCGGTTTGGACAACGTGTAGAAGAGAAAATTCTTGACCCTACCGGGACTCGAACTTCGGTCCTGGCACCTCTGAGTAAATCCACAAAAATCATCAGTCAGGACAGTCGGTGTTCCAGCCGAGACTCGAAACCGGCACTTCCTGTATACAAGCCAAAAGCGTCACCGCTTGACCCAGTTGCCCGGTAAGAAAAATGCATCAGTCTATATCACCACTCCCCTATACGCCTTCATGACTTAGTGCTTCATTAAGCACAGGGCCAACTGTATCGTTCAGAGCACTGGCCCTCAAACTTTGTGAGACCGCGGTCCGGTAAATTCTTTTTTATAAGACAAGGGCCCGGTATAAGTGATGCCAAGGCCCGGTACCTGTTCGCGGCCCGGCGGTTGAGAAACACTGGTTTAGAGTTCAATATTATTGAAAACATTTCTATGCTAAGTTTAATTTAGAAACAAAGTTTACATCTGTACTAACGGCACATATAAATATTGTTAATATTTCTACTGACGAACTACAAATATCACATACGCAAAGTGTAACAATACTGTTTTTATTTCAGTTTGTTTGCTAGCGGTGCGTCGCACTACGGCGCTACCAACCTAACCCCACACTCGCCATCCGAAGCGAAGTCTGGATATCCATATTTCGGTCAGCTGAGTGGCATGGAAGCTGGTATGGTGTGCGGTAGGGTCCACTGACAACACTTGTTCATACAGCCCAGCGTCACGAAGGGAGGACTGCTGAAGTTTGTGTCTGGTTCTACATAAACTTGCAAGTGGCTTATGGTCTTAAAGCCTTTGCTTCAGTGATTAATCGTCTGGGTGATACAAACATGATATCTGGTATAAGCAATCATTCTCCTACTTCATATTTTACGTGTGATGTGATAAGAAACTACTGCTGCCATCTATTGATGATTCATGCTAATTATTTATGCTTTTCAACAAAGATAATAAATAAGTTTAAATGGAAACAAAACACAATAGAGAAATTGTTGGATATGACGACTTTCTCAAAAAGGTGACCCACTGGCTTATATCGCAGTGTACGGGCAGTTCGGAGGAACTCATCGCCCTCATCTTCAGAGACGAAGTGTAAGCCAAGCAGGTAGCAGCTCCTCTGAAATATCGGCCTGTCTCTCAGCGACACGGCATTAAAGGACCATACTGTTTCACAACAGACTGAATCTGTTTTGATAATAACTGAGTTTACAAAATGGCCGCGCCATAGCTTAAGTGGTTACTCTCTGCCTTCCCACCGCGGCGGCCCGGGTTCGAACCCGGGTCTGGTCAAGTGGGAGTTGTGGTGGACAAAGTGGCGCTGGGGCGGGTTTTCTCCTAGTGCTTCGGTTCCCCCTGCCAATCTTCATTCCACCAAATTCTCCATCATCATAATCACCCGGGGCAGGCTATAATACACCAATCAGTGGCCGCCATGCCGAAGAGGCCCAGTTGGACCCCACCCCTCACTAGGCAGGAAAAGTTTACAAAAGACCCAGGTAACGATAGCTGCATGCAGACAATTTGTAAGACACACAGTTTAAGAAAGGATTTTTGGCAATTTCTAATTAATGTAACTGAAAAAAAAGTGGAAGGTAAAGTTATCCCTGTAACAGGCCGTGAAGACCTATAGGGTTGTAAGACGTCAAGGTTCCCCATTTTCTTTAGATAATTGGCTCATAGATGGCGGTGAAGTTGTCAGCCTTACACACCGGCCGCCCTTTACCCACCAGGAAGATTCCTAATACTGATTTCTGTTAGAGGCTGAGTCGATCCCAGGCCATAGTGCGGCTGGAAGGATTAGGTCAATTGAAGAAAGAAATCCACTTCCTCGGGATTCCATCCCGCAACCTTCCGGCTTGTAACATAGTGCCTCAACCAACTACGCTACCGCGTGCCCCCTAACAGACAATAATAATGAGAAAGCCAAAATATTGTGTTCTTATTGAAGGTGCTGTGAGAAATAATTTGTGATGACATTACTTGTTATTAGATATGAGCTTACCTATAGCAATTCTAAAACGCAGAATCTAAATGGAAGATTGTCCTTAAGAGGACAATATTACTTGAAAACACTTTAAGAAAAAGGAATTTTAGATAGGATGGTATATTCGGACTAATAGATTACATTTCCAGATAAGTAAGGTAATTGGTATTATAAGCGAAAACTGAAACGGGGCTAAGACATTTATATCACGAAAAGAATATCTGAAATTGTTACAGTTTTCATGCATTGAATGTAACCGGATTAATGAACGGAAGTTCGAAACCGAGCTGAACAGATGTTTAAACTAGTTCAGACTTCTATGGATTGAAGGTAACTGAACTCACGAAAATATATAGGCAACCCAACGGAATATGTCTGAACTGGTTCTAGCTTTTATACAGTGACCGCAAGTGAATTCGTAAGCGGAAACTGGAAAAACGGAAAAACTAGCTTAACTGATTCAAGATTATTCATTGAACGTATCTGAATACACAAGCGGGAACTAGAACCTCAGTGGAACAAAATATAAACTTGTTCATGTTTTTTTGCACTGAACGCAATCGAATTCATATGCGCAAATTGAAAACCAACGGGCGAAATATCTAAAACTGGTTTAAGAGTCCGATGTTGAAATATAGCAGAATCCCTAACCTAAACTACATGTTGCGTTATTTTAGTTTACTGCACAATTTTCCTCTTACAACTTCTGCGATATATTTAAAATATCTTCGAGAGCACGTCATACTTTGAGCAAGCAATCTTACCGGAAACAAATCCTGTGTGTTCAACGATATGTCGAATATTGCAATGTTGTTTACCGTCGTTCGCTGCAAATGGATCTAGTAACCCATTAACGAAGATATAATGATTATATGCTGATGACGCGCTCAAATGTATTTTAGACACACAATAGTACTCTACGATGTTAAGTGTTTGAAAATCAACGTAAAAAAAATGTTTCGGAAGTAAGATTCACGTAATTGTTCACACAACACAACATTTTAATGTTCATTATTAGGTTTATTAACTCATAGGTTGAAACATCGGACATGCTTTAGAAAACTCTGTTTTCGATTATTTATATCAGTTTTGGTGTCGAAGGATGACTTCAATTTTACGTGATATATGAAAGAAATTATCGCCACGGATATAATTATAGGTAAGAGTTCGTGTAGTAAATTTGCTGATGCAAAAATCGGGCTCCTTTCCTTCCAAGTCAAGATAACCCTCATGGGGAGGGATGTCTGGAACCAAATATAAGTGAAATCTGTGCCCTCCGTCCAAAAGAGAGACTTGGTTATGAAAGACATGGAGAGAGAGTGAGTGGGTGACAAGATGGATGCTGCACGTTAGATTGTGGTCGCATTAAACAGGAAACTGAACTCAATATTATCATTCCTGATGTAGATAACTTGAAAAGAAACACGTTGTTACATTTCTGGAGATGAATGACAGGCTTAATAATATTATATTTCTAAGTGATTGTGATCATTTAAAGATAAATATTATATATTTATTTGGTTAACAGCTTTATTATAATAACATAAAACATTCCAGGGGAAACAATTTTACTGTATAAATGTCTGTGAAGTGTATTTTTACGAACGGTTACTATTAATGTGCTTATGCTGAGACAAAAATTATTTTCTGACGTCACATTGGCTATTTCTTCCTTTAACACTGTAAAATTTGTTGTGAATAATAACTAAATTTATATATTAATTACATTTAATAAATAAGAGTATCACAAAACCATCTTCTTCTTCTTTAAAAATAAAAGTGAAATAATGTGAGCAGCAACTGACTACAGGAACAAGGTTCGATTCTCGGGGAGGAAGAATCTCTACTTCATGAAGGCCAGAGTGGTTAAAGTAGCCCGTTCATTGTTAACAGCAGTCAGAAGTAACGTGCCTGAATGGAATTCCGGAGGTTTTCGGCTAACATCTCAGTCAACCCTCAAGATCTCCTGAAGATTAGGCCTAACCTTTAAACATGGCACAGCTGTCCTTTGTATTCCGCTTGACTGCTCATCTATTTTTATGGTTTAAGTAAAATATAAATGGCTCTGGCGATGGTGTATGACAATCAGTATTGAAGAGGGTTTTGGATTTTGTCCATTTTCTGATATTCTAAAGAACACAGTCACTGGGTACGTTAGAAAGAGACAATCCCAATCACTGGGTCCGTTAGAAAGAGCTAATACCAATCATCGTGTCCTTTAAAAAGAGCTAATCCCAGTTACAGGGTACATTAGAAAGAGCCAATCCCAACCACTGGGTCCGTTAGAAAGAGCTAATACAAATCACCGTGTCCTTTAAAAAGAACTAATCCCAATTACCGGGTTCGTTAAAAATAACTAACCTCAATCACTGGGATTATCTCATAATACTCCTCACCTGAGGGCAGAAACAGATGCAGTTTCCGAATTATTGTGTTCTTTAGAATTCCGGACAATGGACAAAGTACAAAACCCCAGTAATCCTGATTGTTTGTGGTTTATTTATCGACGCTGTTAGCGGGTTTTGGGGCTGTTTACGACTCCTTCAGTAACCTCAAATGACAGGAGAAATGACGAATAACGAATTGAAAAGGATATGGATGAACCCTGCGCGACTTAACTGGAAGGACAGAGGAAGACAATCAAGACCTTAGGATAGCCGGTGTCATTCGACCCGAGCTCCTGAGGCATCACCACTACAACAAGCTGCTCGGTAACACTGTCAGCACTTCTGAATTTACATCGTCTCATTGCAGGATGGCCGATCACAGTGGACTCGCGGCCTAAGGCATGATCCGTCCTCACCCGCTCGAACACTGGGGTCGTGGGTTCGAATTCCACTCGAGGCAAGGAAGTCTGTCTGTGCGTTTTTTCTGTATCTGTGTTGTTCTGTGGGTAGGTAGCGGCTTTACGACGGGCTGATCACTCGTCCAAGGAGTCTTACTGTCTATGTAAAAAAGATTATGAAACTGAAGAAGAGGACAAAGCCTAACAAAGGACTTTAGAACAATTGATGAATGAATGAATGAATAAATGAATTCGTTAGATAGGAAGCTGGGTGGGCCCCAGAACCAGTCTGGATGTCATGAAGAAAAATCTTTCCCAGCCGTCCAGCCCGTAGGCCGTCTCTGTACAGACTGAGCTATCCCGACTCCTTATGAATATTAAAAGAGGTGGGTGCTTTGGGCGTAGCAGAATAAGTACGAGTAGTTAGCTTGATGCGACATAAACTGCCGTGCCATAGCTCAGATCATTATGGGCCCGCCTCCACGGCAGCGGGTCGGGTTCGATCCCAGAGTAGGTAATTTGGCATTTGTGTTAGACAATGTAGCAATGGAACGAGTTTTCTGAGAGTAATACAGTTTCCCTTACCAATTATCATTCCATCAACTGCCCCACATTCGTTAATCGTCCCAACATTGCCGTTATAACCTCGATACCGACAGAATCGTTAAATAACCAACTTAAATATATAAAATAACAACAATAAAAGCAGATTCAGTCATGTCAAATTCCTTCTTTGACTGACTGACGAATCAACTGGTTAACTGATCGAGTAACCAACTTAAAGAAGTGACTAATTAACCAACTGATAACTTACTAACCTACCAGCTGGTTGATAAATCGATATTATTTGTTGGTTACTTTATGATTCTGTTAGTAATTAGACTATACTGTAGAAGAATGCTCAAAATGAGAAGCTAAATAATTAAAAATGACCGAAAACAAATGAAAAATAAGAGCAACTAAAAGACATCCTCTCAATAATGGTGTATGTCGTCCAATGACAGGCTGATAAATTAATGATGAAGTATAAAGAAATTGGATTAAATTTTAGCCGTATAAANTTAAACACGGAATTTCTTCGTAATGAAACATCGGTTGTACGACAGACGTATCCAGTTAATTGTTACGTTGCAATGCTCGATCGAGGGATGAGGTATCGACAGGAGCTATGCGGGTAGTGTCAGAAATGTAAGAAGGGTCAAACACTGAACAGCGCTTTGTTTTGAAACGTTTGAAACAGAAGCAAATTCCTCTGAGAGGGTTGAGGAAAATATTAAAATCAGGGTCAAAATGTCCAGAATTTCGGCCAAGTTTCGAGACAGTCACTTTCTCAGTGCGGTGACATTAGAGACTGACCGTGATACTATAAGCATGTGAGTTAACTTCAAGATTGTTCGTCATTACCACTCAAAAACAAGCCCTCCGTTCATGGAATATGCTAGGTGTTTGGGTCGAAATTTTACCGTTAAAAATGCTAATGTGT